AACAGGAAATTTATCGCATCATGAATGATGTTATTGATCGCTTGATTACAGAAATAAAAGGAAGATTTTCTCGCTTACTAGATTTAGATTCACGGTTTGGATTTCTACTAGATTTAATGATGTTTCTGGAGATTTCGAAGACGGAAAATTGCAAGAAAAATGTTCTGACTTAGCAAAGAGCTATCCAGGTGATATTGATGGACCAAATTTGTACAGAGAAATTAAAGACTGTAGAATGTTGATAATTAAAAGAACACAGTCCGATTTTCGTGAACCAATGGTTGCAACTGATTTGCTAACATTTATAATTTCATATGGTGAAGATGTTTTCCCAAATTGTATTGCAGATTTTGTTAACAATTGGGGTTTCTATTGCTAGTTGTGAAAGGTTCTTCAGCAAGCTCAAATTAATTCTTACATACTTGAGAACCTCAATAACTCAAGAACGACTTAGTAACTTAATTGGTAATCAACATCAATACAATGGTGTGAGAAATAGAAATTATGTAGGTTGGTATTTAACACAGAGATGAAAAACTCTGGGGGCGTGGTCACAATACATCAAAGATGAGTATGCAGATTCAAATTAGAACTTGTGTCAAAGAATTAGACAAGTACAGTACTTAAAAAATAAAATTCATGCCTACACTATGCAAAAGTATAGTTTCAACCTTACACTATAAGAGAGGTATAGTTGCAATATATGAATAGCACACACTGGTAGAAAACAACCTAGTTTCACACTTTGTGGCAGACAAGATAATTGCATAATCATAGATAACAAACTGCCTTTGTTAATGAGGGAAGGGTACCTTATTATAATTCTTGTAAGATATTTTTATTTCCTGGCCTCAATAATAACGTTTTTAACCAGGAAAAAATCCAAAGCTTAAATAAATATAGTTCTCAACAAATAGATAAAATTGAGTAAGTATGGTTAGCCAATATTAGTAGTAAAGTAATATAAATATATAGATGAATGTGTGTCTGCAGGTTATCATTGCAAAAATGTGATTTGAAAACGAATTATTCCCTGATGCAGATATTATCATTAAACTATAAACTTATTCAGTGAAATATTTAACCACTAAAACTGTGTAAGGCTTGTGTGCACTCGGCACCTATTTCTCCCACATTACATAGAAATATTATAAAAACTCACCTTGTCTAGCACATTTGTTTGTTTTGAATTTCGTGCAAAGCTACACGAGGGCTATCTGTCCCTAATTTAGCAATGTAAGACTAGAGGGAAAGCAGCTAGTCATCACCACCCACCGACAACTCTTGGGGTACTCTTTTATCAACGAATAGTGGGATTGACCGTCACATTATAACGCCCACATGGCTGAAAGGGCGAGCATGTTTGGTGGGACGGGGATTCGAACCCACGACCAGCAGGCTGATGTCTAGCAAAAGGAGAGTTTTCCCTAAGTAACTTTAATAACAGTTGAAGATTGCTGTATCAAATATACGACAAATATAATATGCCAACGGCAATATCTCCAATGTAACAACAGGTTTCTATAAGATTGAAAAATCAGATCAAATAATAATTATATATTGATACCTGCAATTTAAAACTACCTAATCCATTACCTTACGTTTAATGTCTTTTTACAAATTTCAAAATATTTCTGGAAGATAGACAGACACAACAAATTAAAAAAAACGGTAAACTGGGTAAATCATAACACCAATTAGTAAAATACAACATCAAAAATTATACTGACTCCTAACATTTTGAAACTTTACAGATTCCTTTTTCAGTGGGAATGACATTGAATACTTATGACAATGAATTAATATCTTATATCACAAAAACAAGTCATAGAGGTAATGTTATATATTTTTAAAAAATTATTTTTTCTATTAGTTAAAACATTCTGTACCAGTAAGAAGTATTTTCAAATTTCATTATTTCAATTAGTTTTAAATAAATATATCTTTTTTTAATATGACGACCATTATTTTACTGTGAAATTGAAATAATTTTTCTTCTTGATTTAATAACTTAGAATTATTCTATGAAAGATTGTGCCTTAATACTTGACATTTCAGTTAGGTGGTACATTTTCTATAGTATTCTTTAGAAGAGAATGACATTTTTGGCAGTTTCCTACCTTACAACTTTGGGAGATGTCCTTTGTTGTGGATGTTTGGTTTTGTATAAATCGTACAAAGCTACTCAAGGGCTACATGCACAAGTTGCCCCTAATTTTGAACTGGTAGATGAGATGGAAAGTAGCTACTCAACACTACCTACTATCAACTCTTGTCCTACTCTATTCCAATAAATAGTGGGATTAACCAACACATTATAACATCCCCACAAGCATGTTTCAATCCCTTGTTCCACAGGTTACGAGTAGAGCATTTTATCCACCAGGACTTGTTACAATGAAAATTATAATAATGAGCAATAACATGTAACCATGGCTAATAGAATGAGCATGAACAGATGCAAGGAATTCCAAAGGAACCACTGGTACTTGGGACCTCAGTAATAACTACTACTACTTATATTACCTCTAGTTTTGCATGTGAATATATTTTAATTTTAACGATCATTACCCTCTATCTCTTGCAAGTATGTACACACATAATATAGTAATATATTACATGCATGTTTAACAAACATTACATGCATTATTTCAAGTGTTCTTTTTAATCATTTATCACAAACAAAATAAAAGAACTCAGTTCAACTTAGAACTCAGATTTGTAAATATATATATGTGTAGAAAAATTTCTAAAAGGTTTAATTACTGAATATTAAATTTCTTCATTAAACTATTAAATCACAAAATTAATTGAAACTATAACTATCACACTTTAAGAAACTGAATATATTATTGGTGACAGTTAAATATTTATTATTTGTATGAAAAGACCAGTTTTAAAAATATATAACTGTGTAAAATCATCTTAAAACTACAATACCAAACCAAGTATTTCTTTTAAATGTGAAAAACACAGTACTTGTCACAATGACATTATAAAGAATGTGTATGTTAATAATACAATATCGCACACATACACGGTTTTTTACTGGTTTAATTCCATAAATTTTATAAGCATATCCATGCTATTCAAAACATTAGACATGGTGAATACTGAAATGGAAAACATACACACAAATGTTTACAAAATATGGAATGCTGCAAAACACATTTCAGATTTTGAGTTATAAATCAACTTAAAGATCAGCTTGCATTTTATTTAATTTTTTTTTATCTATTATGATTTAAATACATAAACAAAAAAATGTTTCACATGGATAAAATAGTATTTTTAATGTTGGAATTGAATTCTGGTTTAGCTTTTTTTTTTTTATTGCAAGTACCCATATTGTTTTAGTGAGTAAATTAAGCAATAAATACAGTATTTTGCTGCTAAGTCTTTGTCAATAATGCATACCAGTATTTATGTCTGCCTCTCTTCTTTTCATTGGCAAGCCTCACCATTTTAATCAACACCAGAACTAAACTGTTCAGAAGTAGCAGACTTGCTACTGTACAAACAGTCACTAAAGATGGTAAAGTTCACAACTAAATTTTGCCTCTTTCTAAATGCTCTTTTCAAAATGCATAAGGCTGCAAATACCAAAAAAGAAAGAAAAAAAAGGAACAAATGACTCCATTATACAAAATCTAGAACTAGGTGTCTTACAGCAAGGATACTTAATATGCATTTTATGAACTTTTTCAAATTTAAAATGTTGGTTTCATGACCATTCAAAACCAACAGAGAAAAAATTAACTAAAACTTTCTAGAGGAAGAATGCTTCCATTTGTTTTTCAAAATATCCATTCATACAATTATTAGGTTTAGTAAATATCTTAAAGTTTGCTAATAGCAATTATGAGAAGAAAAAGCAATATTTTTGAATTTTAAGAAGTTTCACAATTCTTATGTACTTAATTTCTTATTTATGTAAAACATATACAGTATGGATAGGGAAATGACTTAAGTTACAAAGTATTAAAGCAGTTATAAAACTAGGCTAAATTTCATGTGGAATTACACAGTCAGCCTTTTTCTTTAAGTTTTGATCTGAGATATACTAATATTTCAATACAATATCTTATTTCTGAAAGAAGAATCTACTTTTAATATTAAAAATTCAATTTTGCTTTCACATTTATCACCTTATAAAGTACTTTTTGAACTTTCAGTGGTAAATTTATGTCATACACTAAACCAAACCTCTTAGGGTACAACTCAAGCTATCATCTTGAAAAATAATTTTCAAATAAATTCTGTCATATTGACTACAGAATTAATGATGTGAAGGCCGACCTCTTTCAAAATTCATAAAAGGCCAAACAAATTTTTAATATCATCAGCATGCCAGTTCATTGTGGAATTACCTTCACTTTCAAAATATAGCTTGTGAAATAATATTCTATAGCAGCATTAAAACATTTTTGGTAAACACACTATTTTCATTCCCCATTTAGTTACAACTTACAATGTAGTTGTTCTACACTTTTCACTATAAAAGAACTTTTCTGGATAATTACACAATATTTGAACTGTGTTTCACTAAATACCATGTTTTGAAATAAATATTGCATACTGCAACTGTTTCACAGTATTGTGAAATTCTAACACCCACAAACTTTTGTAACAAATGATATTTAGGTTTAATGAGAGCCAAAATTTGCTTGATCACAGGAAGTATCTTTAAGTTGTACACTGTGCTTCACAAGAAACTTGGCACAAAACAACAAAGTAAATAGTTTACTCCAAGGAATTGTATACAAGCAACTGCTTTAGTACTTTCGTCTGGCTTGTCTCTCTGATCTCCCCTGCTAGAAACATTTCATCAACAACACTGTATACCTAGCAGAGAAAAAAAAACATTTAAGGCATAATTAAAACTTTCCAAACTACGTTTTTCATCAATATCACCACCTAGAAACTGCTTATTAATAGTAGTTTACAGACTCGTTTGAGAAAATTTTATATTTTACTTTTACAACAACACAGAAATAATTCATTGATAAATTTAATTTCACAAACATGGTACACACACGTAGAGAAAAGAAGCTATACAGTACATTTGCATAAGATGAGATAATGAACTTTACATATGACTTGACTAGAAGTTGATTTCAAAGTTTTTCCAATTTTTAACCATAATTTTTAGCATATTATGGAGTTGTTCAATCTTAACTTCTAGTTATTTTGGCCAATATATACTAAGTTGTAAATCTATACTGAGTGGTCACAAGTAAATAGACACCTAACTTTTCAGAAAAAATGAAATTTTTCAGTCATATTCACATGAATTGATATATTTATAATTTAATTAATATCTAGTA